GGGGCGTACACCTGCCCATCGGCTGCCTGCCGGCTGCCGGCTGCCTCGGTGCCCTCGGGCTTCGGCCGCCGGGGCCGGCCGCGCGCCTGCCCCGTCCTCTTGCCGCCCCCTGGCGGGGCCCTTCGGGGCGAAACCGCGCCTCGTCACCCGGATGATCGGGCACACGCGGGCCATGTGCCCGCGGCGACGCTCGGTGAAGTCAGGCAGGTCCTCCCCTCGCCGAAGGCCGGCCGCGCTGATATCACCGGCCGCTGGCCGGGGGGACGAGGCCTTACATCAGTACCGCCGGCCGGGCAGGCCCACCCGGCCGCCGGTTGCCCGGAGACGGAGCCCGCGCGCCGCATACATGTGCCCATGCGGCCGGTGTGTTGGCCGCCGAGGGGTCGGCTGCCCGCCGCCAGTCGCTCCGCCTGCCGGCAGCGCCGCGCGAGCCAGACAACCAGACAGGCACACAGGCCGGGGTGGGAGGGGGGGGAGACTGGCGGGCTGCCGGCCTCTGTCCCGGCCGGGCCGGTAGCTGCGGCCCCGGCCACGTAGCACCTCCACGCCAGGTCCCAGGCCCGGCGATCCGAGCATATCCGCCCTGCACACACGCATGTCGGCACGCGGTGGGCGCCAGCGGGGGCTGCCTGCCCCGCCCCTGCCTCCCCGCTGCCCCCCGCCGGTCGCCCACGCTCACGGGCGGGGGAATATAAAAGACGGCGCGGCCGCCGCCAAAACACCCAGCAGCCAAGCAGACATGCCCAGAGCCGTAGTTTCTCGCGCCCGCCCCTGCCCCCCCCCCCCCCCCCCTCTGCACCCCTCTCCTGCCGCCTGGTGTGATTGCCATCCCGCTCGAGATCCCCGCCCCTCCCCCGCCCGCTCCCCTTCCGTGGACGCTCGACACACACATACACACACACACACGCACATACACTCATCCGCGCCCCCCAGCCGCCGCCCAGCACCCTCTGCTCTCGCGCCCCGCACGCCCGAGGCCAATCCCAAGTGACACCCCACCACCTCCCTCCCCTCGCCCCAGGTACGAAAGTGGACAGATCGCTCGCCCAGGGAGGACCCCCCCCCCCCCCCCC